ATGAGTCATATAATATGCAGTCTATACAAAAACCATAAATTAGTGACAGAGTCATAGCACAACTAATGTGTTAAAATGAACAAATAGTTGTAATAGTTATTATTGTGCTCAAAGCTATGCAAAACGTCTCCAAAACGTCTCCACGCGGTTGCCCTAGATAGAAGGCACCACTCAATGAACTACACACATAATTACTCGTATATATAGTATATGTATGACTGAGACGTAAATAAGCCTCCAGTTTAGTATTAGCTTTTGATGTAAGCTGTAATCAATGCATACTTTTTGAATGCTTTAGTTTTACATTATTAGTTAGTTAACAATTAAATATTTGATTGTGTGTTTGTATAATTTAAACTTTATAATAAACACAATTAAAAATAATTTGTTTCTAATTTTATTGATAACAATGAGTGTTACATTGAATAATGTTATGCACTGCTATATCAAATACAGTACATAAGTAGTAAGCTGAACCATAAAACTGGAGGCTTATTTACGTCTCACTCACTCATATGTATGTGTCAATGTATTAGTTAGATAGTGTCTTTCACTGTAACTGTATTTATGATAAGTTAACTTAAGTTATAATAGATTTTAACGATTATTTAATTTCAAATGTTACTGTTTAATTTTTATTTTTTAGTGTCATGTAAAAGTTTTGTGAAAAAATATCTTATGTGTTAAGTGATATTAAATATTTAAACATGTTTTAATTACACACATTAAATCTAGGGTGTTAACCACAAAATTATACATATTATTTTTTCCATCCAAGCCTTTTATATAACGTTAATAATAACAATTACAACGGCATTAATAATAGTCATTGTTCAAATATTTCGTTATCGTATATGCTATAGAAACCGATAATAAATAAATATCTTAATTTTAACTACAACTGTACTTTAACATGTGCATTTCACATTTCAGTCTATAGTACAAACTAATCAACTAACTAACGGAGCAATAGAAATTGCAATATGAATTTAGACCTAGGAAATTTCATTATAAGTGATGAGACAATCATCGATAAAATTACCATATTTCATGTGTTTAAAGATGACGTAGGGCATAACATATTATTTGTGACAAACAATGATATGGTTTACGGCATGGGATCTAATTATTACGGATCACTCGGTTNTGGTTTACGGCATGGGATCTAATTATTACGGATCACTCGGTTTGGGACACAATAGGGCTGTCAATACACCGCATATTATACCGGAATTATGTCTACAAAATATACAGCAATTTATTTGCGGTCATGACTTTGTTTTTGTTATTACTGGAAATCATTGTGTGTACGGCTGGGGCTGTAATCAATTAGGACAACTAGCTGGACAATTGGATATTGAAAATAATCAAGGTCCTTCAATTATAAACTTTTTTAACAATAAATCTGTGCGTGAAATAAGCTGTGGTTTCCATCACTCAATTGTATTGACCAGTGATGGCCAGGTGTATGGTTGGGGTTATAACGGCAACGCTCAGGTAGGCTGCAATGACGCAGTGAAGTACACACTTGAACCACAAATATTGAAATTTGTTGATACTATTGGAAATGATTATGTAATTCAAAGCATCTATTGTTCATCCTATGCCTCGTTTGCCATTACATCGAATGGACATGTGTTTAGTTGGGGTCGAAATCATTACTACAATTTGGGACACATTATAACGCCAAATGTATTTCAGCCCCAATTAATTGACGGTTTATCTAACATTCAAACAGTGTGCTCATCTATCCACGAAACTTATTTTCTAACTAATAATGGTTTGTTATATTTTTGTGGTACATATAAAATAGTTGTCCAGAATCACTCAACAATTGAGAAAATACCCACGTTAATCAATGACAATCAAGTATTAGTAAATTCATTATATTATCACTTTCCGTTATTTGTATTTATAATTAATAATAATTTAACTATTATTAAATCATTCAATCAATTCGAAGACACTATGTATACAAATATATTTGATTATTATTCAAATCAATTCCAAACGACACACAAAACAATACATTTATTTGATTATAAAGATTATAATTTTGAAAGTATTGGACATTTTAAAACAAATTGTTTGCGATTTCTGCGCAAATTGTATCGCAATATTCAGCAGTCAATCGATGGTATAATTAATAAATATAATTATTTGTCATTTCAAGTAATCGACATATTATCTCACATTTAGATAACCAATATCAATCATTGAGAGATGCACAATCACAACTAGTTAACGGTGGGTATTGACGTCAACTATGTAATGTTCTTAACAAATATTTTATTCACTCGATGTATAATTTAGGTCGCAGTGCGTTTCTTACATATTTTGATGAGCTTGGTAAATTGGGTTCGGGCACATTTGGAACCGTATATAAAGTCAAATACAAAGACAGATACAGTTTAGGGACAAATTCAAGATACGCTATTAAAGTAATCGAGCATGATGGTAATCATAAAACAATTAGATATTTACTAATAAATTATTACTTATAACTTGTAGTAATTTATACTGTAGCTAATATTATATATTGTTTATAATTAAAGTGAATACAGATATAAACATAATGGAAAAAGAAATGGATAATTTAATAAAAGTTAGTTCAGAATATGTCGTCCAGTACTTACATTGTTCGTTAGAAACGGACAATATTTGCCGCACAACGTGTATAATAACTCATTTATACGATCAAAGTTTAACCTCAGTATTAGACCTGAAAGGCCCGGCGTTTGGCCGCCGCTCGGCCGAAGAGGCCATGAATTTGTCGGAGTATTATATTTCGTGTCAATTATTTAAAGAGCTGTTGGAATGCATACAATATTTACATGATTTGAGTCCAGCAGTCATTCATCGGGACCTCAAACCCGATAATGTTTTGGTATCACTTAATCCCCAAAACGGCCGGTATTTAAAACTATGTGATTTTGGTTTAGCCGTATTACACGAGAGGTCAGGTGTTACCAGACATACGGGTTGTGTGGGCACAAGTATTTATATGGCATCTGAAGTGCGGCTAAACAAAGATTACACGACAAAAGTGGATGTCTATAGTTTGGCAGTCATTGCATCGCAATTATTTTGTTTGAATGCTTTCGAGTATTGTTTTAATAATTTTAAATTATGTATGATATTAATTGTTAATTTATTTTTAGGTTGAATGATATGGAAATCTATCGGAAATTTGACTTTTTTGATAAAATTGTGAATTTAGAGAAACTATTAATTTCAATGTCGACACGAATACCAGAAAATAGACCCGATTGTCGACAAGTATTACAAGAGTATAACCACTGGTCTATTCATGCAATGCGTGTCACAAATATACAAAACTTTAAGCGTATACTAAATGATGTTAAAGAAAATGGATGTGATTTTTTCTACGAGTATTGTTACACAAACATTACCTCAAGTTTAGAAAAATGTAATGATTTAAACGATAATTACCCTGATATTAATACCATTAAGCTATTTCACGTTTTTGATGATACCAATGGTTATAACGTATTGTTTGTGACAAACGATGATATGGTTTACGGCATGGGATCTAATAATGAGGGATCACTCGGTTTGGGACACAATATGGCAGTCAATACACCACAAGTTATACCACAATTATGTTTACAAAATATTAATACATTTATTAATGGCTCTAATTATGTATTGTCTATAAATGACAACAATTGCATCTATGGCTTTGGCATTAATAACTATTATCAGTTAGCAAGAGTTGCGATAGAGAAATATTTAAAACCACAAATTATACGACTACCTAAAAATCAATTAATAAGTTATATTAGTTGTGGTGATAATCACTCACTTGTGCTGACCAGTGATGGCTGTGTCTACGGATGGGGGGATAATTCGCATGGACAGATAGGTTGTAATAGTAGTAATTATGGAATAAAAAAACCAACCAGGGCAGCATTTATACATAACGAGGTTGAGTATAAGATACAAAGCATTTATTGTGGGCAACAATCATCGTTTGCCGTCACAACCGATGGCCGTGTGTTTAGTTGGGGTGCAAATCATTGTGATTTGGGACATAATACAAGTGATAATATATATAAACCACAATTAATCGACAATTTATATAACATTCAAACGGTGTGTCCGGAGGGAAGGGAAACGTATTTCATCACAAACACAAAAGTTGTTTATTATTGTGGTATGAGTTTAACCTATAATAATTGTCTCTCAATTAAAAAATCAATCATCAAGTACTTTGTAAATAACGAAATGAACCTTGATTATATTTTTAACCTACGTTCATATCAAATCACCATGCAGCGTACGATCGGTATATCCGCTGATATAATCTATTTAATTGATGGAAAACATTTGTTGTACAAAACTGATTACACAAATATATTTGATTACTTTTTAACTGAAATGCAAATGACTTATAAAACAATACATTTATGCGATTATAATACGTATAAATACAACTCGTTGGAGACATTCAGTAAAAAATGTGAATATTATTTAAACGTGTTGTGTTCTACAATTAAATACTATAATGAAAGTATGATTAAGTTAATAGAAAATTACTTTAAATTTACTAAACACTAAATAAACCTTTTATTACCTAGATCAAAACAACATGCAGTGTAGCAGATATAAGCGCCTCTACAATGAGTTGTCTGTATTGGGTTCGGGATGTTTTGGCACCGTTTATAAAGTTAAACGTAAATCTACGGGACAAGAATATGCAATGAAAATAGTTGATTACCGAGGTAAATTTTATTGCTATAATTCTGATTACACTTAATGTAATTGTTAAGCGCTATACTTCTGATTAATATAATTTTTATTATTAGATGTTAACAAAGATGCTATCAATGTGTTAAAAAATTTGTCACATATTTTCACTGAAAATGTGGTCAAATATATCGACTATTGGCAGGAATTTAACGTATATTATATTGGAATGGAGTTATGTGTCGAGAGTTTAGAGTCAGTTCTATCACTGAAAGTCTCGGCGTTTGGCCGCCGATCGGCCGAAGAGGCCATGAATTTGTTGGAGTTTTTAATTTCGTGCGAAATATTCTCTGAACTGTTGGAATGCATACAATGTTTGCATGATTTGAGTCCAGCAGTCATTCATCGGGACCTCAAACCCGAGAATGTGTTGATTGCATGCAATGCCGGCAAATGGTGTCTAAAACTCTGTGACTTTGGTTTGAGTGAAGCCTTCGATCGCCTGAACTATAAAAGAGATGCCAAATATTTATCGCCCGAAGAAACTAATGGACAAACTGTTGATTACAAGACAGATGTTTACAGTGCGGCCAAAATTGGAGAAAATATATTTGATATTCAAGTGATGGATGAATAGTGAGTTAAATGCATATTGTATTATAATTTTTATAAATATTTTAAATATTTAACTGTTAAATTAATTAATTTATAACAATATTTTTATAATAGTTTACGTTTGTATTCTACGGACAAAACTCTATTCAAAAGTGTGACTGAATTACAAAAAGTGTTGATTTCTATGCAATCGTTGGAACCGTTCGATAGACCCGATTGTCGACAAGTATTACAAGAGTATAACCACTGGTCTATTCATGCAATGCGTGTCACAAATGATTCCAATTATAAGAATATAAATAATTTAAAGGAAAGTAATCGTCATCTTTACAAATATATTTACACCAAAATAATTCAAATTACAAAGATTGAAGAAAGTAAGTTACAAAACAGTAAAATTATTGATTCAAATATCATTAAACTATTTCACGTTTTTGATGACATCAATGGTTATAATATATTGTTTGTGACAAACTATGATATGGTTTACGGCATGGGATCTAATTATTTAGGATTAATCGGTTTGGGACACAATAGGGCTGTCAATACACCACAAGTTATACCACAATTATGTCTACAAAATATTCAGCAATTTATTTGCAGTAATAGTTTTGTGATATCTATTACTAATAATAATACTATATATTATTGGGGTTGCAATAATTATTTGCAATCATCCCATAAATACATAAAACCTCAAATTAAATCATTAAATTATAATCACAATATTATTGATATAAGTTGTGGTTATAATCACACACTTGTGCTGACCAGTGATGGCTGTGTCTACGGATGGGGCGGTAATACGTTTGGACAGTTGGGTTGCGGTAACAAAGTTCCTATTGATAGTGAAACTCCGATGAAAATGCAATTTTCGCACAATGGCATTGAATATAAAATTAAACGTTTATTTTGCCAATTGTTTTCATCGTTTGCCGTCACAACCGATGGCCGAGTGTTTAGTTGGGGTCGAAATGAGTATACTTTGGGACACAATTCATGGAATCATATATTTAAACCAAAAATAATTGATAATCTGTTTAACATTCAAACGGTGTGTCCGGCGACCGGTCAAACATATTTTCTCGCAAACGATGGATTTGTATATTTTTGTGGCAAATATTATAACAAGAATTCTGAGCTTACAATTGATAAACAAATCATTAAAATTTTTGGCAATAATAATGATTTAATGGATAACATATACGCCATGTATTCATCACAACATAAGGCCTCTCTATTGATGGGTATCTCTAATAATGATATAATTTACAGAATTTATAACAAAAACAATGTATTGATAACTAATTACACAAATATTTTTGATTTCTTTATATCTGGAATTCAAATGACTTATAAAACAATACATTTATGCGATTATAGAGACTATTATTACGCAACTTCTGAAGGGTTTAAGAAAAAATGCGATCAATTTTTGAACCAAATATTTGATAAAATAAAACAATTAAAAAACGATTTGAATTGTGATACCATTGAGAGGGAAGAAAACTTTGGCCATTCACTAAAAGGCCAATCGCCAGAAAACAATTCAAAATAATCATAAAAGCATTGTCTCTCAAAATTATTTCGTATAAAATATTCAATTCATATAAAATTTAATTTTTAAATATAACTTCAATTTAAATTATAAATTCTTTAACATAATACTGTTAAACTTATTGTAATAAACCTGTTATATTATATATCAATATTAGACAATTTCCGGTCTAGAAAAATTAGCCCAAGAATAATTATTTATTAATTGAAAAATGATTATCAAATATAATAATTAAGTTAATGAAAACAATTAAAAAACAATAAATATAATATATTTATAAATCAATTTGTGTTTTTAATATTAATTTCACGTTTTATCCATTTTCACTTATGTTTTAGCATTAATTTTATAACTAAAAATATTATTATATATTGTATAGTAAATACAAAATTATTCACAATATATCAACTGTTAAAAATATTATTACCTTTATAATTTTAGATTGCATCTAAAGTAATATTAACTTGCTTTATGCAATATTAATTCAATGAATTGCCAAAATACAAATCAAATTTTGTTAGGGACAGTCTCGACAATGTATCTTAGATAATTTTGTTTCTTAATAATCAAGCTCAAATACCATGCCGTTAACGCAGCGCATAGTATATTCCATAAGGCGGCCACGTAATCCTTAGTGGCAAAGTTGTACATAATACCGATTATGGTCAACACCAACAACACGATCACGATGCATTTGTTTTCTTTTACAATACCCATCAAACCAATGACCGTCAATATTAATCCAATCACCCCGGTTGCCAGAAGCACTTTTGCTATATGAACAAGAGCAGAATATGTATTAATTTATCATGTTTAGCAAATTAAATTTTTAACCATCATCAAATACGACTCATCAAGTTTGTTATGAAGTACAGGATACTTATATATAAAGTTATATAAATTTACTATGTTGCATACAGCGAATGAAATAATCAGGGTCGATATAACGGACCGGAATTTATATAATTTACATTAACTTGCACAAAAATATGCAAATCCCTGGCCTATCACAGCGACCATTATTATTTCCCACAACTGCACACTTCATACACTGTACATACACTCGATTCCAAAAGAATCGCTGCACTAGTTTTCCATTATATTCAATGTAAAGTGAATCAAAAGTATTGACGCAAAAGTTAATAAATAGACTAATCATATTTAAAAGTTACCGAATTTTAAAAATATTTAACCAATATGTTGGTCCGATAGTTAGCTAAAGTTTCCAAAAAAGATTTGGTTAATTTTAACCACGAGTGCCGATCGCCGCCGCACTGTAAATAGCGTTAAAGTGAATGCATCGTTTGTTTCGGGGACCCGCTAGCACTGGCCAGTGATTATCATCAAAGTTTATGGCATGGAATTTATACATTTGATGTGTGGCTATCATTTGAAATACTGATCAATGATTTCCCGCCACACACTCTCCCGTTCCAGGCCTAAAATAAACATTACACATTTTCTATAATGCTTTTCAATACGAGTTTTTGGGGTGCGGGTCGGTTATAGGCTTGGAACGGGAGAGTGTGTGGCGGGAAATCATTGATCAGTATTTCAAATGATAGCTGAAAGTTTTCTCCTATTGTCTAATAATCAGTATTTATATTAATGATAATTACAGTACCGACACTTAATTATAAATAAATTTTGTATAAAACTCTATATCAATGATTAGTAGTACTATTATTATGTATATATTTCGTATATAACCATTAAATATATTGAACAAAAAACAATCAAGAGCAACTATACACGTCTAGAAATAACTACCAAACGGATTTGCGTTATACCATGTTATGTTGAAAATATTCTGTATTTCATTTCCTATGAAAGTTGTTTTAATTGATTAATTATAAAAAATAAGATTATTTAATACCAATACAGTATTGTAATACAGTAATATAAACTTTTACCGGATATGTAATAAAATTTAAAATTTACATATAACATAATATTGTAAAGACAAATTAATTTATTTTTAATAGAAAGTTGCGATAAATTAAGTGTAAAATTGTTTTGATTATGGTTGAATCGAAGTCCAATATTGCAATTGTTATAAAATCATTATGTAATTTAGATATGTTTAGTGATATTTAATGTTTTTAAAGTCTAAATAAATGTTAACATTAAATAATGTAACTTGAATTTTAACATTGCTTTTATTAAATGTTTAGTTTTTATGCAATATCTGTCAAATATATTTAAATATTATTAATTGTATACTAAATTTGCATTTGCATTAATTCTATGTGCAAACATTTGACACATTTAAATTCATTGCCAAATACATCATGTTCACATAAAACCTAAACACTAACATAACATAACATTATTGTCCAACAATAAATGACTGGATAATTATAAAATTAACATGCTTGCTAAATTTATTTTAGATACATTTGTACAATAATGTTTACAAAAATAATTTTTAAATCATATACGTGTCTATGAGTTCTCCCATTCCTTTAAAATGATCAAGTGCAAATACAGGACAGTTAACATAGCGCACACAACACCCCAGGAGCCCAGTCCATACTCTTTGGTGACAAAGTTTGCTATAATACCAACGATGGTGAACACCAGCAAAACGATCACGATCACTTTATGTTCCTTAATAATGCCCACCAGACCAATCAGCGACACTACCAACCATAACACCACGATTATCAACACCGCTATTACTGTAACCAAAGGTATGTTTAAAATTATAAAGCGTGATAATGTTTATCATACATTGTGTCATGCAGTATAATAACATTAATCTTATTTTTAAAAACTACCATGTTCTTTAGTAAGATTATCTTGTTGAAAGTTGTCATCAATTAAACTCAACGCTATGCCGCACAACACTATTGTTATTATGCAGCCAATGATTGCCAACACATACAGCACTTCCAGACATATCTTCACCCGTTTTAATGTCTTTTGTTTACTGAACGCCATTATTATTAACAAAAAACTATAAGGTATTTAACATACCGTGTGTTAAAGTTGTATCTCAAGGTCTGATAACCAGTAGTTGTGTTAATATAATACACAATTGCACCGTATATTTACTGTATCATTACAATGTTACATGATTAAATCATTAAATTTATATTAAGTAGTCGCGAGTAAGTATTAGATTATTGTTATAATTATAATACCGACACTTATTTTTAAATGAATCTTGTATATAAATAACTTAACTATTAGTGTTATGTTATCAGATATAATAGTTACCCTAAAATCGTGCCTATTACCCGCGGGTTATCTGATGAAAAAAGTGATATTTTTGGGAAATTACTAAGTGCGGGTTATCTGCAAAGTGCGGGTTATGTGAGGTCATAAAATTGTAAATTAAGTATGTTCTCTGGGAGAGTTTAATGAGAGCCCAGGAGAGCCTATTTTTGTGTAATTTATACTCTATTCAAGTGTTACTCACATATAGTGTACCTGAATATAAGGAGTGGAGTTTTTAATAAAAACTAAATTAGACATAATATAACAACAGGGCACATTATGACTATAATAAATGTAATCATTATAATGAATAACAGTATACAAAATATTAAGGTAACGCAAAAACCACGTCAAGTTATAAAGAGATAGAGAACAATCTTATTGTAAATTATTATTTTATTAAAATATTTTATTCAAGAATAAATATGATTTTTAATCAAGGATACATTCTACAGTAATAAATTATTACTAATAATATTTTTAATAATTGAAAATAATGTTAAACTCATTTATGACATTAAACTTAAGCATTGAAAAATGTATTTTTGTGATTTTTTTTATATCAAATGCTATTAAACACTATGAATGAGTTTTAACATTATTTTCAATTATTGTTTTCAATTATTTTCAATATTAAGAATAGTCTTTTTGATTAAAATTCATATAATATTACAGTACATATAATTTAAATCCATCAAAATCAGAGTCGGAATCACATTCAAAAGCAGAGTTAAGATTAGTTATAATATTAGATTATTTGCCAGATATGTCTATCTTTGGCATAATAAATAATTTAATTCATCACAAATATAAAAAATTATAAATGGTTAAATACAAAAATTAAGTTTAATAGTGTGTTAGCCATATATTTCAAAAACACGTGTTTTTTTGTCAACATAAACAGGTATGAAATTTTTGCGGGTTATACGTGAAGTGCGGGTTATCTGTGAATTGCATTTTATTTTAAAATATTTGCACTTTTTGTGGGTGCGGGTTATACGCGACTGCGGGTAATAGGCACGATTTTAGGGTAAATATTTTAAATCTATAACCAACCAAGAGCAAGCATAGAACAATTACCATATGGATTTGCCATATAATGTGTTAATAGGGCGATATTCATTGTGTCGTTTCCTATGAGAATTGCGTTAATTCTAT